GCCGGACCGAGCGGGCGGCGCGGCGCGGAGTGCCCGTCGTCTCTGCGGCAAAGCGGGGGCGAGCAGGGGCCTCCTGAGGTAATCCAGCACTGGGATTCGAGGCGAAAGCCGTAGCTGGCGGGGGGAGTGCCCCTGGCGGAGCCGCTGCCTGCACGCCCTCGTTGGCCCGCTGGCTCTGGCACTGCGCATTTTGCTACGTTGTGAGGATGTTTCTGCTTGCCTAGAAGCCTGAGCCTGAAATACCGCTCGCTACACTCGTTAAAATATGCGTGAAGGGGGAAGTCTACCGTATGTAGCTTTTTGTGCTGCTTTGCAGTGCATTTGGTGTTAGTGTGGTGGATTGTTGGGGTTTTCTACCCCCCTAATTCTTTCTTGATTTTAGAAGTGGTGAAATAGCAAGGGTTTAAGGAACAAAGATTGAGATTAAAATTTTAAATTAAGACTAATAGAAGCATAGGTCTTGAAAAATAAAGTGCTCATCTATTGTCTCCAGGTCTTTGAGCTAGCCTATTAAGTGCTTTAAAAGATCTGGAAGTCCCGAAATCCTGTGAAGGATATGAGTTTATGGTCTTGATCCCTTTTTATTTAAGGCATTTGCTTGAAGGTCTTCATAGAAAGCAGCAGAATTTATTTAAGTAGGTAAGAACATGTATGTATATATATGTTTTTATGTTATTTTAGGAGTTTTTAGCTTGAAGCCAAATTTGCTCCACTTCTAGGCTTTCATAACAGATGCGATCAAGCTTAGGAAGGCTTCTGCTCTTATCTGAAAGATGAAGGTAGTTTTCGTCTTGATCATCTTGTTCTTGCAGCTATGTTTCAGATTTTTAAGATGCTATTGCTTCCTTTGAAAAATCCTAAACAGAAGTGTCTGTGTTTTGATAATGCCCCAAAGTTAAACTGGTGCTCTTTAGTATTTAAAATAGTGTTTATAGTAACAGTGTTTATGGTGTAGCTTTAATGTAAAATTATGTTTTAAAGCTCTGCTTCAAATAACTTAATAGCATTGAATCAGAGAAAACTCAATAACAACTACGTGTTATTAGGCAGATATTCTTTATTGCGGCACCGGGCAGCACAGGGGATAACTTTTTCCATACGTGCGCACGCAAGCGTTGGGATTCTTGGCTTATATTTACAGCTTTTAACGTATTTATAACATTTCTAAGAAAAGGTTGGATTATTCTAATCATTTCCAGGAATTCATGAACATAATTTCCTGCCATAGTCCCGCCTCAGTCTGCCCAAGTTATGCCTCCATTGGTGGTCCTTGGTGGTCGTTGGGGATGAAGATCTGAGTCTTTCTCATGATTAAACTCTTGAACTTGTCCTGTGGCGCATGCCCTGTACCATCCTGGGTCTTTTCCAGTTCACAAAACCAGCTCTTGCTAGCTTCCCTCCTTTTCTGTCCTGCTCAGTCCTTTGTGTTCCTTGAGTCAAGTTGGAGGATTCCATGTGATGTCCTTCATTTGGCTAACTTTGCTTCCTTATTATCTCTAAAGACTACTTAGTTAGTCAGCAATGGATATACACATATGCATACTTCATTACAAATCGGCCTTATTCTTTATTACAGCATCTTGCTTGTTCATTGAAAAATAGCAGCGTATGTGTGGGATGGGCAATATAGGTGATGCTGTCTGTCTTGAAGATGAGTGGAAATTAACTGGACAAAAGTGCTGTTAACTGATGTTTGAAATTCTTTTTAAATGGTGGTGGTAACTCCCTGCTGTGCTGAGATACCAGTGCTTTCAAGGATGTCCTCATGTTGGCCTGTAAAAGTTAGAGAAGCAGCATGTTTTTACCATTGTACTATACATCAGTTTGGGAAAATGTTCTAACACAACTTGACAGGTCATGTCCTATAATTTTTAAAAAATAAATTAAAAAAAAAAAAAGTGTGTGTCCTTTGAGACTGTTTCCACAAAAAAAATGTGGTGGCTGTTGTATTGTAGAATGCTACGCAGTAGTATGTCTAAGCAGGGTGGTGATTAATGGTTTCAAATTTAAAGTACTCTCAGTCCAGAATTTTTGTAAGATTATCAGTGTATTGATTCTGTCATACTACTCTTTATGATGCTTTTTTGGCACATTTTGGGTGCTTAGAACTCAAAGCAAAAAAGTAAGGAGTATAGGTTAGCCAAAACCCTGTGTTATGAATTGATGAGGCTTCTGATATTTTTCAGATGAGGTTGAAGTGGATGAAGTAGTTATTAAGAAAATGTGGCCTATAAGCTGTTCTTTGATGCCTATGTGAATTGAGCATTCTGTCATTAAGTTTCTATTAAGTACTGCTCTTTCAGTTCTTTCTCCTCACTTCTGCTGCTACTTCCTACGTGAGCCATTGAAATTCACAGTTGTTAGTAATGTTCAACTGGCTGTTTGGTGATTATGTTTCTGAAGCTTGGAGAAGGAGAAAAAAATTTACAAAACGTGCTACCCGACTTCTTGGCTGTTTATGAAAGAGCTCTTTAGCTTGCCACCTTTGACAACAGTCTTTGCGTGTGTGTTTTTTCATTTCTAGGGGCCATGTAGGGTGTTCTATATTATTTTCTCTTGCCCTGGCCATCCTCTTGTTTACATTTAATCTCCTGTGTGGTTCACAGCAAAGGAGCTGTGGCTGTGATAAGTGTGCTTTACTCTATTACTAAGTGGAAAGAGGGCAGCCTTCTCTGATAAAGTTATGACTTGATGCAAACAGCCTAAATGTCTAAAAATGAAGCTTCTTAAGCTTGTGATTGAGACACTGTTTGTTGGTTGTTGGAAGGAAATGGATCCTTTAGAACTGGAAGGGATTTACTGGGTCATCAAGTCCTAGCATATATGTATTTGGCTAAGGTTTTAGCTGCTTTAACTGTATAGAGATTTAGCTAAACAGCAAGTAAAGTAAGTGCCTATGGAGCAAATAATCTTACTTCTTCCAAAAATAATTTTTTTTAAATGTCTTGATTGTTTGCTGTACTGATAATATCTAGTAGGTTTAGTAACTTAGGGGTGACACTGCACTGACTTAAAATATTATTGTTGAGCAGAATAACTGTTAGTACCAAGGTGTGAGAACAAGGTAGGAGGAGAATGCCAGATCACTGCTCTAGCCAAGCAGTGACAGAATACTGGGAAATTTGAGGCAGAATTAATGACAAATTCTAGGAAATAACTACATACCTTCACAGCTGTTCAGAAACGTGATCATTCTTCCCGCAGTTAAGGAGCATTTTGTCATTTTGGGTTTTGGTTGGGTTTTGGTTTTTTTTTTTAATGAGACTGTGGATAGACATGAACTTCTTGGTACGACAGTCTGCATTTACAATTAAAAGGCTCTCACTGCTGAAAGCTCAGGCTGTGACTTTAGCATCATAAAGAAGTATATGTCTAATATTAAAATGAGTAGCTTATCAAAATTATAGCTGTTGTGTTTTAATGCTGAAATGCTTTTATTTATTGTGGAGGGAAAAACCCCATGTATTATGGGATTGTGTCTCAGTGGTTTCCTTGGGTTTTGCAGGCTTCTAAGTGTAAATATTGAAATCCAAAACTGTACAGAGGAAGCTTTTTTAGTGTCTTTACAAATATTTTTAAGAATCTATTGAATTCTGTGTCTGTCACTGGATTTTTTTTTTTTCAGATTTACCCACAACTAAAAGGTATTGCTTCAGTAACAAAATTACAGAAACTGTTTTTAGATTGTTCATACTCTGTATACTGTGAGCTTAGTCACAGCTGGTTGAGGTGATGCAGCAGTACATAACTCATTTAATAATCTTTATATCCAGAAAGCTGTAAATGCTGTATGTGAAGATTTGACTTTCCTTAACAGTTTTTTTTCAGAAACTAGAACAACTCAATCAGTATCCAGATTTCAACAACTACCTGATTTTTGTTCTTACGAAGTTGAAGTCTGAAGGTAAGTTCTTGAGATATTGACTGGTTTATTCTAGCTTGCAAGAAACAGGAAGCTGATGCCTATAGTCGGTTTGCCTGTTGGTTGAGCTCCATAGTCATGTAGAAGTCTCAGGAGTCTTTGTTGGAAAAAAATCTGTTAACTTATTGGAGCTTGTATTTTCAGCCTTGGAATAGATTCCATTCTAAATGTCCTATGAAATCTTCGCAGAAATGTTGGAGCATCATACCTCTATCAGACTGCAGTGAAATTGTGGAATAACTTTGATGAATCATGACTATACACATTATAAAGCATGCTGCTAAATTCAGTTATGAGAATGATGTTCATAGTAGTGAGACTGTTAAGTATTTTGAAGATTATGTACTAAAGTTGTCTGATATCTGTCAGAATCTTCATTGTGATGTCTTAATTCTAGTAAAATGCAGTTAGAGATCAACGGGCTACTTACTACTGTCTTATATGGCATGCTGTGTAGCCTTTACCAGTTGGTAAATTCTGACAATTCCTTAGTAATCATCAGGATGTGTGAAAGATTGTCTTTCCAATGTACTACAGCTAGTGATTTGTGATGTCTTTGACAGTGAAAGAAATTTGTTTCAAGATCTGTTTTAGCACATTTGGCTTCTTTATATTTGTTTGTAAATAATGTGTTAGATTGTTTGGGTTGTTTTCTGGCTTTTTTCCCTTAGTGTCCTGCTACTCGTGCTTTTTCTGCTTTCTCATGTTTCACCTTTGCGTTTCTGGATGTTTGCTTTTTTCCCTCTCAAATAGGTTTTACTTACCTGTGGCCCTGTAACATTCAAAGAATCAGCAAGAACACTATCTTTAAGTTCTAACTCGTGTTTTGGTTGTGTTATCATCTTACTTCAGGAGGAAGGAAACAGAGAGGAGGAAGAAAGTATATTTCTGTATTTGAAGGCTGGAGCGTATCCCAATGTTTTTGTGTGTTCCATGTAGGAAATCTCCTGATCATCTTTCCAACAGATCTCCTTAGGTTATCCAGTAGTCTTGTTTCACGCTTCTAATTGTTTAGACACATCGATCTATTTGGAGTTGGATGAAGAGTAGGAGATGCTAACTATTGCGAAAATATTTTATCTAAGAAAAAAAAAGGATCTGGCAAGTTGAGGGGGGCAAGCAAGTTGTGGAGAAGTAGTGAGCTAACTTCTAAGAAGAGGTGTTTGGGGTCAGGCTGCACTGATACATCTCACGGGTACATCAGGTCTTTTGTGAGACTGCTGAGAAGCAGCTGTTGCTTCAGAGATGCTCTTCTACTGCATCAGTGACGTTTTTAGAGTCATAATGTTTTGTCCACAGCAACTGGTTTTTAGCTTTGTATTTCTAGTTCATGAAACTTGCAGAATATTGAGGGCACCATAACTGAGTCCAGTGTTGGTGCTTTTCATAGTAATTGCCACATTCTACATATCCTGTTACCTTGCTTGGGTAGGACTAACCCAACCAACAGTCCTCTGTCGTCCCTCATTAGTCCCGCCCAAGCAAGGTAAAGAGACCGTCGGAACTGCTGTTTAGTAGCTACAGTACTCTTGCGTTCTCTTTTGGACCAGCAGGGGAAAATGTGATGGACTCATCAGGTGGATAACTGTCTTTCCTTTCCCCTCCTGAAGAGGGTTCTATTGGCAATCTGTCCTACAGCCTTGCCAAGTTTGTTGGCTAGGGGAAAGAACGAGTGTGCTTTACACCACAGATCAAGGCATAGGTATTCATACTGTTGGAAGTTCATGCTTTTGTTATGGCCAGTAGAAGGAGCCATGAAGATAAGCTTCCAACATCACTGACAGCGTATTCAATAAAAATTAAGATATTTTCATAGTGCATGAGAAAAAGAGCTTGGTTTGATAGCAGATGGGACTAACCTTTGATTAAGTTTTGGCTGCTGTTGAAACCACTGCTGCAAAAACTGTGCTTAAGGATACATTTAGGTGACAGCTCCTGAATGTGGGAATTCTGTAATGGTTGATTGAAATGTGTATTAAATAGCCTGATTTTACTACTGTGAAAGCTGTACCAAATTATCTTAGGCCTGGCTCTTATGCCTCTGCAGGAGAATTAACTTCACAAGCAAAGAACTTTGCTCGCAACGCTGGCTGTTTCACTGAGGCCTGCTTCTAAGATACTTAAGTAAACG